TTTTTCAGAAAAATTTGAACTATGTGTCGCAGGACTTTCTTTCCAATCTAATCTTTGTCGAATACGAGCCTACATATTGGAGTCTTAAAGCACTGTTGACATTACTCTAATCAGAAGTGTCATTAACCTGAGTTCGCTCTCTGATTCGTAGTTCTGTATATATTTTCAGGTCAGACCGCGTCAGTTCGGGATTTTCAACTACACATCAGCTCAAATAACCTATATCTCGGAGGAATCTGCTGACATACGCGTCGGATACACAAATGCTCCTGGCGAGGGTACGTTGATGCAGATGGTATAGGTGATATGCGTACTCACCCCCCCCCCTCTTACAAAGCTATACAACATACTCCAGTTCTTTTCCAAATCCGCAAGTTCCCCTCACTATTCTTCAATCCTTCTCACCAGGAATGATCAACATGTCAGTCTGAATTCCCCCAGTGGGATTCGCACACAGTACACGTCTTGAAACGCCGAATCCGCTGAATGATTCCCTGGTAGGAGGTTCATAAGAGGTTGGAGGAGGTTTTTCCCCGGTGACACCTCCGCAGACAGTCCGTCAAAGAATCCGCCGATCCGAATCCTTTTTGGTAACATGGTAAAGTGGTTGGAGAGGTTAATTTGCAGAATCGATAGGAGTCGGATCAGTGGGTCGGATCCCCTCGCATGTTCTTTCATTGCTTTTCTCCCTACTCCATCGAGAGATATTCTATCATGCTGTTCCACTGTGCTAGGCTTTTCGATGGACTTAGGTTCACCCCTCCCAAATTTTCTTCCTTGAGCTTTTTTTCCTAGCAGGTCCTCAGATCGTCATCCAGACAACACTCGGAAACCAGGGTTGGGATCGAAGGAGTTCACGCTTTGAGAGATCAAGCAAAAAATTGAGCAAAACCCTTTAGGTTATAGACGGACCATAGCGATATGGACGCCTTCTAGTTGTTGCTGTCGGGAGTAAGAATCGTCGTCCGATTTTTCTGGAGGACCATTTTGCAGGCTTGAATCAAACACCGTGTCTGATAACTTGGTAGAGGTGCGTGTAGACATACTCATGTGGATTACACTTTCTTTAGTAATCGGCATTAGTCAGAGATTCAATAATCCAAGGGATTGGTCCCTCTCTTGCATGATTGCTTTCATGTCTTGCTTCTCACCTATTAGGTTGTTCGAAAAGTCCTGCGACACTTTGACCAAATTTTTCGAACTAAATTTCTGGTCAGTAAAGGACATCTCCAATCTACAAGGTAACCGCAGTTGATGACTAGGACTAGTGCCTTTCTTTTGCACAGCTTCTCATTTCCATTCTCATAGAACTACGGCAACTGTGGTAAAGAAGAGGTGGACCTCATTCTCGAGTTGAGGTTGATTTTCGGAACTTTTGCTTTGTGAAGGATGCGATAGTGACCAAAGGAGGTGGTAATTAGAGGCTGCTAACTTTGTTAAATAACCTGAGTACGGTCGCATTCTCTGATCGAAATGCATGATCTTTTGGCGTAGCCTGATCCCCACAGCGGTCCTCGCATTACCGAGTAGTAGAGAAAAATTGAGTATTGAATTCAAGCGTGACGTCATCCATATTTTGAAGTCGATTAAGGTGGACTGTGGTCCTTACAACGGTGCTGGTATCCAGTGATACCGCTTTGAAGTCCCACCAATAACACACTGAAATCTTTATCCCATGCACATCTGCTTTTGGCTAAGCAATCTACTTTTCTGTTTGAGAGATCCTGCGAGGGACATGTGCATGATGTACGCAAGGACTCCACCACTCGCTACCAACCACAAGATCTCACAAAAGTTCTACGCTGTGTACAAGGAAAAGAAAACTCAGTCACGGTCATTCGGTATGACTTGTCAGACGGGTCCAACTCATGAGGCATCCTTCACAAAAATTTTTCCGATAACCGAGATTGCGGAGAAGCATGGCAGTTGTCAGTCAGATGGAGCCTAGAGAGGTTGCCAACTTACCGGTGGTTACGTTCGGCTGCGCCTCAAGAAGCTTGAGTAAAGGGCCGTCATTCTGTGCTGATGGGCGACCTATACATTGCCCAACTACGAGTTAAATAAGTCCAGCGGAAGCGCTGATGCAAAAGCTACCCTCTGCCATGGCAAGCGTCGACGATAATGACACACCACATAACACCTGGTGGCGAGTCACAAGAAAAGCACTGAAAGGCACACAAACAACTGGTTTATATACACTGGTGTGCAAAACTTAGGGACGAGATGGATAAAGTAACATAAAACACTAATGACTGGGTGGAAGTAAATGAAAGTGTGGGAGCATGTTGCCACTCGCCTAAGGGATATGCACAGGAAGCTAGACT